TGCCAGAAATGTTGGGAATGGAAAATCTTTGGCAGTGCTTCCTTCTTACTTGCCCACTTGTTGAAACTTAGTTTTGCATTAAGGGTTTGCTATTGGCTTTTATTGTTTGTTTGTTTGGTTATTTATCTGCTGATGATTTAGGGTGAATGAAATGAAGGGTTGGGGAAGAAAAGCTGAGGAAAGAAATACGGCAGGTTTGGGTCCATTACCTCTGGACACACAATCCCCAACCTCCACTCTGCTGAAATAATTAGAGTTCTGTCAGGTCTTACAAAACCTGGAATTAGGTAGGAGATACTAGGAGAGGCCAACTCAGTATAAAAACCAATGGCTCAAGGGCCTTTTAGTTATTAAATATGTAGGCCAGCTGCTTATTTCTCTTTGGTAAATTGACTTTAATCAGTAGCTACAAAATTCTTTTGTAACATCTCTCTTCAAGATTAGTACTGTCTCTAAGTCATCCTCTGGCTAGAAAGCTGAATTCACTGAAAACAGAAATATTGGTCACTATCTCTCCTTCAACTCCATGGCCCTGGCCATAGACACTGATTGTTACTCATTTTTGTGGTGACATACTTCCAATCTTTGCTCTTCCAAATTGAGTATTAGAAGGGTCTTCAAAAGCTTTCATTTTCCCCTCTGTAAATCTAAGGTCACAAACAGGAGATGTGTCGTGAACCTGGCATTCTTCTCCAATCGGTTCACCTTTAGCTGGCATTCTTGCAGGTTGTGGAATGGGATTGTGGCCATTCTATAGTTTCAGGATAAATTCTTTCCACTTCTGTTTTTGATCCTTTTTGATCTTTTAAGTAGACAGGGAGAGGTGTTTTAAAAGTTTGAATGTTGCCCTAACCAGTTTGGCTCAGTGGATAGAGCTTCAGCCTGCAGACTGAAAGGTCCCAGGTTCGATTCTGGCCAAGGGCATGTACCTTGGTTGCGGGCACATCCCCAGTAGGAGGTGTGCAGGAGGCAGCTGATCAATGTTCCTTTCTCATCGATGTTTCTAACTCTGTATCTCTCTCCCTTCCTCTCCGTAAAAAATCAATAAAATATATTTTTAGAAAAGTTTGAGTGTTTTATACATTAAAAATCAATTTTATTATGTGAATAATAATTCTTATTTTTTGTTTTGTAATTTTAGTTCTACTACAAATCTGATTTTTTATATGCATAAAGTCTACATATAATTTATATATCATCCTAGGTATTTTATCTTTAAACTTAAAACTACTTTATACACAAAATTGAGTCTATTTTCGTATTCAATTAGCAATGGGCAAAATCTAATTTGAATAAAACATATTTGAAAACATACCTCCATAGAAGGTTATTGATTCCTTGAAGTTATTTCCACTTTTATTTATATCCTACATATTTTTATTGAAAATATGTAGTCTTGGTTACACTATCCTTATGAATTTTCTCCCCAAGGAAATAATTAATATTTATAAATGTACTATGGCTCTGCAGTCTTTACAAATCTCTAATATTACTAAAACCAATCACACAGGCCGAAGACATCAGAAACCATTCTTTCTAGACATGGAAGTTAACATGTCAACCAAATAAAGGAAAAGATTTTTTGGTGGATCAATTTTCTTAGTTTCTCACAGCACTCCTTCCTTGCTTTATACCGAGAGTTGCCACTGCTGTAGAGTAGATATAGTAGACACTTGATTTCTTTTTTAATGAATCCCCAAATCGTGCATATGGAAATGCCTAGAAGCAAAAATAAGAAACCCAACTTCCTGGATGTTTTTTAATTACTTAGACATTTTGTATATATCAAAACCTCCCAATTATTTTTTAAAAAATTTATTTTATGAAAGTGAGAGCATTCTTGGTGATGAATGAATAATAACATAGGAAAAATGAGAAGCAAATGTTGGGCAGAGTGGATGAGCAAGGTAGGTTCATGCACCAACTTGGGCTTCTTCTGCACATCAGCCCGAATTTCTGGGTCTATCTATTCTAAGCCACAGTAGAATCTCAAATTACTACATGGCATAGATCTTTTTGGTATTGGTCAAACCTGCAAATGTTAAGTTACCAAATGTACAGTTTTCCAGTATTGGTTCAATGACTGATAACATTTAGGAATTGCGTTTTTGTCAAATTCTTTTATCTCTCAAGTATAAGCAAGATAATTCATATTTTACCAACCCAAGTCTTCAATTACAAAGCTTGTGGTAAAGTTCCCTACTGTCAAATTTTAGCACCCAGTTCAGAATTCTCATTGCAAATTTATACTTCTATTTTCCAATTAAAATGGGCTTTTGCAAGTCCCCTGCTGATAGCCATTGGCTTGAAAAAAGTTCCTTCATTTTCAGGGAGGGTGTTTAGGGACCTCAGCGCGAGGCTGGCTCTTCTGCTCTTGCCTTGAGCCCAGCTGTGCTGAAATATTAAACTTCAGTAAATTAGGTAAACTTGCAGCTTCCTGGCTGATATAGTAATGCCCTTTTCTTTTTCTGCAAACAATCTTCAGTGTGAGTTTTCTGCACAATTCTTTTCTCCTCTAAGATAAATAAAATTGAGATTATCTTCCAAAGCTAAACAGCTTTTTCATTTAGACTGTCTTCCAAATCCAGACTTTTCATTTTCAAGATAGTTGTGCTATGCCCTACTTAGCTAACAGAATATGTATTTTCAAACATGTATAATTGGATTACTTTATTATGTTAGCACTGAAGACAACATTACATTATTTTACTATACTCAGTTAAGCAGTTGGACACCTAAAAATGTAAGTCTTACATAAAAGTGGCAATTTTTTCTTCATGGATTAGTATATGTTTTAGTAGCAATGGTGAGCTATGGGTGGAAATAATATTTCTAGTCACATTTCAGTTTTTTGCTCCTTTCTCTTTAAGAATAGGTATTTTTTGTGTTTTTGTTTTGTTTTTTTTTTTTTAGTTCTGAGGTGTTTTATTTATTGACGAAACATTTATTGATCAATTACTATGTACAAAGTTCTGGTATGTTTTCAACTAAATATTTTTAATTAGAACAAACATAGAGTTAGCAAAAAGAAACCAGGCAGCCATTCTTTTCTCTTCTTGATGTTATTTTTTTCAGTGATGAACTTGCTGGTGGCAACTTTATTGAACTGTCTGGCCTACATGCTCCCCAAAAGATTCTCACATTGCTCTTCCAGGTTAAGACCTTATGCTCCTAAGAGACTCCAGTTGAAATATGAATATTTTTGTTGCTTGGGGAAGTTACTCACGAAAGCCTTTCAAAGGACCTTTTTCAAGGTACTCACAAGACGATAGAGTCCAAAGGTTGTTTCTAGAAAAATCTCAAATTTAGACAAAAGTAGACTGAATAGTCTAATGAGTCCCCATCTAAACGTTATGGAGTTTATGGATTATTGATGTTCCTCAAGAGTCCAGAGTCAGGGGCAAAACCTGGGGAGGTGGCACAATGGAAGCTTGGGAAGTCTGGTGGCTACACATGTAGAAAGATGGTTTAGGAATGAAAGAGGGAAAGGCCACTCCCAAATAAGTAATTGGGGAGCCAGGCTGTATCACTGTCATCGGGTTACTCTCTTGCAATAAATAGATCATTAATAGATGAGATGCTAACCAATAGAATCTAGATCGATAGGATTTAGATCAGGACTCCACCAACTTTTTCTGAGAAGGGACAGCTAGTAAACATTTTTTAGCCTTGTGGGCCATATGATCTTTGTCACGACTACTCAACTCGGCACTTGCATCATAAAAGCAGCCATAGATAATCAGACACAGCCCTTGATTATACAAAGGAATGGATAGGGAGGTATTCCAATAAAACTACAAAAACAGGCAGGGGCCGAATTTGGCCCAGGGGCAGTGGTTTGCAGGCCCCTAAAGATTGCCTGGTCCTAGAAATAGATTCTCTGTGCCTGGGATTCTGCGTTTAAGCCAGGAGACGTTACTCCTTCTACTGGGCACCGGAACCTATCCAATGACTGCCAAGTTCCTGGCAGCCTTCCTGCGTGGGACAATCCGGCAGAGCGACTACACAATTTCCAAAGTTTTCAAAGTGGGCCTTTGTTCCGTCCTCCTCCGCCCCGCTAAGCCCTGGCTGTGGACCACAGGGCACCGACGGAGTGGCAGTGCTCCTAGGGGGGCCGCGTAGGCTTCGGGGAGCAGCCCGCGGGCCCTCGGGAGCCGGTGAAGGCGCGGAAAAGTTGGAGCCCAATCTGCACTGAGCGGAGCTCCCGCGCCCCAACCTTC